TAAGTAATACAAGTTGAGGTGGGACAAATGAAGGGTTATTGGGCGCAGCTTCATTTCATGTGCTGTAGTTTTGGAGAAAAGCTTAATAATAATAATAATAAATTGAATTTGTATAGCGCTTTTCACGAACTCAAAGTCGCTTGCTCAAAAGCTTAGACAGTTTACTGCCAGGACGAAGTGTAGAGTAAAATGCATTATAGGAGCAATAGAAAGGAGCCATTCAAAACCGCTGCACTGGAGTTATTTAGCAAAGTAAAAAACATATAGGATGTTTTCCTTTCAGTAGCATATAACCTCAAAATATGATTAAACAATGGTTATATGTTCAAGTGACCATACAATAAAATAAATAACATAAAGTTGGATAAATTTTTAATAAATAGTAAAAAAAAAAAAAAAAAGAAAAGTAATTTTTCTTATTGTAAACAAATCCTGAAACCAACGAGGTGTTAGTATTAAAGTATAGTATAGCAGAGACAAACTGACTTCTCTACCTTGTCTGTGGCTGTGGCTCTCAGGAAAAAATACTACATATTGACAAGTACTAACTCGTCATAATCATCACCATTCATGCAGAACAAAGAGTACAACACTTCAAAAGTTTGCTGACTGGGGCGTCAATTTGTGTTATAAAGTGGTGGGGACATAAGGGCTCACATTAGGGGTGTGACGACACACTTGGGTCACAAGAACAAGACAAGACGATACTTTAACAGTATTTTTCGATGCTGAAATATATCAGCGGGGGGATCTGGGGTTCCTTCCCCAGAATACTTTAAGCATTAAACAATTAATTTCCTGCATTTCTGGTGGAAATGTCTATTTATATGAAGGGAAACAAAATTAAGGTGGCAATTCAAAATATAAAAATATAATAACAGAACACAATGCAGTAATCAGTAGCTTGTTGTTTTAGCTTAAGTTACTTTGGACAATGCACATTTGTTTGTCTTGTTCATCTATATTTCAATTGCATTGCATGTTTTCTTAGTGTGCACTGTTTCATTTATTATGTAACATTCAGAAGTGGACAGAAACATATTGTCTGCCAATTTACGGAGAAATGCATTGAAACTAATGGGGAGGAAGTTTATCATGCAGCAGGACAATGACCCAAAGCACACTGCCAACAAAAGCCAACAAAAGCTTTCAAAAAGTGATGGAGACATTCTGATTCTGACATGTCCCCTGTGTCCCCCTATCTGTCAATATTTTTAAATGTCCCACCACATCCAGGCAGTGACTGGTCGCTTCACGAAAAGTGACATTCACAAGCTACTTTCTGCACACGGCTGCGTGAATGGCACCCAAACTCTTCTCTGCTAATCTCTGTCTCACCGACAGAGTTTAGCAGGCAGGCGAGAACGGGAACAGGTGAGGTAAGTCTTCAAACTTGTGGATCTCTTACTTAAACTGGACTTCCTGTTTCATCCATGTTACCAGTAATTGAAACGACATGCCCAAATATCAATAATCATTTCTTTACGTGAATGTCTGCTTAGAACAATACTCTTAAGGCTAGTTAGGGAGCAATATAACCTGGTTCCATGAAACACTAATATGACTGGCTGCTACCTTGCTTTGCAAGATAGACACTGATACACATCTGTGGCTACTTTTAGGAGTTTATACAGTAAATCCCCCTGCTCAAAGTTTGTTATATGCCATGTACTTGTTTATACGCACCACTGCACCTCTGAACATAACAGAGCCTTGCTGATAGCTTCAATTGTACAGTCCCCTCCAAAAGTATTGGAACGGTAATGCAAATTCCTTTGTTTTTGTTGTTCACTGAAGACATTTGGGTTTCAGATCAAAAGATGAGTATGAGACAAGAGTTCAGAATTTCAGCTAACATTTCCTGGTCATTTCCTGGTTTCCTGGTCCTAACACATCTAGATGTGTTAAACAACTTAGGACATATCACTGTTTGTATTAGACCACAGCATTCTTAGGTGAGCAAAAGTAATGGAACAAATAATCTAAAAGTAAATAACATTTAATATTTGGTGGCAGAACCCTTGCTTGCAATAACTGCCTCAAGCCTGAGACCCATCGACATCACCAAACTGTTGCATTCTTCATTTGTGATGCTATTCCAGGCTTTTACCGCAGCTTCTTTCAGTTCTTGTTTGTTTCGGGGTGTTTCTCCCTTCAGTCTCCTCTTAAGGAGGTGAAATGCATGCTCTATTGGGTTAAGGTCAGCTGATTGACTTGGCCAGTCTAAAACCTTCCACTTTTTCCCTGATGAAGTCCTTTGTTTTGTTGGCAGTGTGCTTTGGGTCATTGTCCTGCTGCATGATAAACGTCCTTCCCATTAGTTTCAATGCATTTCTCTGTAAATTGCCAGACAAAATGTTTCTGTCCTCTTCTGAATTCATTCTGCTGCTACCATCATCAGTTACATCATCAACGAATATTAATGAGCCTGTTCCAGAAGCAGCCATGCTCGCCCAAGCCATGACATGACCTCCACCATGCTTCACAGATGAGATTGTATGCTTTGGTTAATAAGCAGTTCCTTTCTTTCTCCACACTTTGGCCTTTCCATCACTTTGCTAGAGATTAATCTTGGGCTCATCAGTCCATAAGATTGTGTTCCAGAACTTTTGCGTCTCATCTCTGTACTTCTTTGCAAATTTCAATCTGGCCTTCCGATTCTTGCTGCTGATGAGTGGTTTGCATCTTGTGGTGTGGCCTCTATATTTCTGCTCTCTGAGTCTTCTTCCAACAGTGGATTGTGATACCTTCACCCCTGCACTGTGGAGGTCGTTGGTGATGTCACTTACTGATGTTTTGGGGGTTTTCTTCACAGCTCTCACCATATTTCTGTCATCAACTACTGTTGTTTTCCTTGGCCGACCTGTTGGACGTCTGTTGCTCAGTACTCCAGTAGTTTCTTTCTTTTTCAGGACATTCCAAATTGTTGTGCTTGCTATGCCCAGTATTTGTCCAATGGCTCTGGTCGATTTTCCTTCTTTTCTCAGCTTGACAATGGCTTGCTTTTCTCCCATAGACAGCTCTCTGGTCTTCATGTTGGTTTATCCTCTTCAACAGGAAATGCTGTCTTTATAGGTTTGAACCAAGGATGAAAACTTAGACTAGTCATGCAGAGCTATTTAATGTTTGGACAATCAGCCTAAAAGGCAACACCTGGGCAACAAGAAACATCTGTCAGTCACATGTTCCAATAGTTTTGCTCACTTGAAAAATGGGTGGGTTCAAACAAAGGGAGGTATGTCCTGAGTTGTTTAACACATCTAGATGTGAATACCAGGAAATGTTAGCTGAAATTCTGAACTCGTCTCATACTCATCTTTTGATCTGAAACCCAAATGTCTTCCTAAAGGAATTTGCCTTACTGTTCCAATAATTTTGGAGGGGACTGTAGAACTTCTCTGACTCCTCTGAAGCAGCATCTCAATCCTTTAGACCTTCAAACCCTAACTTCTTATTAATCTTATTTTAACAGCAAGGGAAGCTGTTTGATATTGTCAAAAGATCCAGCGCAAATGAGTAAGTGGACCTTAAGTTAAGACTGTCTGTCACAAGCCCCCAGCTGTGACCCGTGTGTAGGTGTGTGTGTGTGTGTGTGTGTTTGACTGTCTTTATGTTTTGACTGTGTGCTGGGAGCTTGGTGTGTTTCTGTTCGTCAGTCTTTGTTTGTTTCTCTCTCTCTTTCCCCTGCCTGGGATCTTGGGCGTGTCTGCTGTGGGCCCTCTCTCACACCTCATCAGCACACCTGACCAGTTTTTGTAAAGAGGGAGGCTCAGACATCCAGTCCCCGCCGGATTGTTGTGAAGTAATGCACTGCCTTCGTCAAGCCTCGGTTTAGCCACTCAGCCAGAAACACCCTGTCGACTAGACCTTTTTCCCAGTCTGCTCTGTCCATAAGCCCGCCAACGTTTTCACTCAGCCCAGGATTAAGGAAGGAACCTGTCTCTCTCTGGCCCAACCTCCCTGCACAATTCCCTTTGTTCAATAAACTATGAACCTTTGCCTAGAAGCCATACCAATATAAACCCTGCTACTGCTGAATGACTGAAGATAAGCAGGTTTGGGCTTGGCCAATACCTGGATGGGAGACCTCTTGGGAAAACTAAGTTGCAGCTGGAAGTGGTGTTGGAGGGCCAGTAGGGGGCAGTCTTCCCTCTGGTTCTAATAATAAGATCCCTGTGCTGTAGGAGCTTCCATCCTTCGGATGAGAGGTTAAACTGACATCCTGATTCATTGTCATTACAGATCCCATGGCACTTCTCGCAAAGAGTAGGGGGTTCCCGCAGTGTCATGGCAAAAATTCCCAACCTTGGCTTTCACCCTCTGGTCATCTATTCATCCCCCATAGCAATTGGCTCAATGTTTCCCTCCCTCTCTGCCTCAAGCTGATGTGTGGTAAGCGTTCTGGTGCTAAATGGCTGCCGTGCATCACCCAGGTGGGTGCTACACATTGGAGGTGAGTCCCCCCCCACTTCACTGTAAATAGCTATATAAAAGTAATGCATTATTATTATTATTAGATCTGTGTTTGGGTCTCTTTCTCTGCTAGGAATTGTGACAGCGACAAGGCATAAACTATTACCTCACCCGATTGTGTTTAGACCCAAAGCAAAACTGCTATATTTCTCAAAAATTAAGTTATGGTGACACTGTGTTTCATTATAATATAAATATATAAATAATGGTATATATTTAAGGTCTGTGTTGGAAAACAGTGAACCTGTCCTTTACCGACAGTGAAAGACAAAGATCTACAACTGGTCATACTGTTTATAATACCCAAGCTGTCATAGGCTGCATGTGCTTGGAGTCCTCTCCCAAATGAATAATGGCATTAAGTGAAAATCAAGGTTGGTTTTGTTCAGTCTGGTATAGACTGCTCATCACATATTCCATTCCACAGCAGAGCTCAAACACTATCAAATCCATCCAAACCTTTTTTGTATTTATCATGATTAGGTGGGCATAGTGTAAATATCAAGGTAGCAGTGTTGGCAACCAACCTGACTGATGGTGCTCATGGCCCTCATGTAGCTTTCATTGCGTGAGCGGTATTGGGGTGAGGACAGCAGCGATTTGGGGTCGAGGAGGGTTTTGGGGTCCAGGGTATCGAGGCTTCTATTGATTGAAACCTCACTCACCGCACGTAGGTAACTGTGGCTCCTGATCTGCAGTTTGGGGGAGTGCTCTGTCGAAATCCTGAGAGAGGGAGGACAGGGATGTATAGTCATACACATGGTTATCTCTGAACTTACTCAACATTGTAATACTCTCATTTAATCAGCACAGTGGTCATCATCCATGTCATACAACTACAAAGTCAACCACATATGCATAGTGGTTCAGTGATACATCTGCTGAATTTATTAAGAATGCACACAATTATTTATCAACCACAGCAGCTTCTGCCATTGTTATTGCCATTCAATTAAGTCAGAGGTTTTCTTTGTAACAAATTGTCTTAAGTTGTAGTACAATTGCAACAGTGGTGTATTCCCCTAGTTAATACTAATTATCTTTGCACAAATATTAAAAATGTTTTATTATTGTAGTATAGCAGTTTCAAGTTGCAAAGCCCCTTTTTTCTACAAACTAAAGTAACGTAAATCAAGTAAATCAAACATATGGCTTGGATGTCAAAATCACAAGTTGAATATAAAGCCATCAAAATTATATGTAATTAAATATTTAGCACCATTAGCAATGGTGAAATAATATTTTTGCCTACTAACTGTGAAGACATCTGACATCTGATTCAGGCCAATAGCAGATCAACATTTATATTAAATAATGTAATAATAATTATTACTATTAAGTAATAATTAATAATAGACAGCTCTTGAAACAAGAGAAATTGATAGCCAATGACTTAATTTAGTCTCATTAAATATACTAAACTATTAATTTTGAATTTTAGTTAATAAATAAATCAATAACTATAGCAAATTACCATCAATAGATAGTGGGTTGAAGGATTTGGAGTCCTACGAGAAGTGCTTAATTTGTACCGGAGCTAGCCGGAGCGCTGTTTCGATACCTCTACCTTCTACACAAATAAAATCCAAGATTTCATCCAGCCCAATAGGGTAAGTCAAATGATTTTCCTTATTTACTTTTTGATTTGGTAGCTAATAACGGTTTCTGTTCGCCCGTTAAAACAATTATTTGATCATAAATTATGAAATCATTATTTTTGGCGGGCGGGACATTTCACACGCTCAGGCACCTAATCATTTACAAATTAAGCACTGCCTACGAGGCATAGGTTGGCAATATATTCATTCATATGCAATGTTAAAAGAAACCAGTATGTATTTACACAAGCATTCATTTACAAGGTAAAAAAAGAAAACACACACGATGAAACTAACTAAAATGCACTAAGCCAAGACAAAGACAATGTGTGTGCGTGAGTGCCTGTGAGGACTTGGGGTCAAAGAATGAAATGTGTAGAAGCAATTTTATGTTGCTTCCTGCATATGTTTGAATTGAAGTTTCTTTGTATTTACGTGATCTGTGTAACAGTACCAAGTTAAAAGGAGTTAGTTAGCATGCAAAGACTGTGTGTCTGTGTGAAACATAGCATTTCTAACCAATTCAGCTGTGGCTGAGCAGTGTAGTTACATAATCTCACATTAACAATGATCACAACAATAAATCTTTAACGAAAAACACATCAATGTAAATTTATAAAAGCTAACCAATCCTGTGCTTAGCCAAGTTGAAGTTGCAGTTAGGCTATGTAAAGCTATGCAATGCCCAGTACGTTAGCAGTCCATAAAGGAAAAAGGAAGTTGACTTCGTGTTGCTAGTTGTTAGCTGACAGGTCCGTTGTGGATGAAGCCAGGCAGTGAAGAATTGTTTAGTAGTAGTCTTTGCTGTGTCGTGAGTCGTGACACAGATGAGAGGGTCCGGCCACTCTCTTCCTGTTTTCCTCAGAGTAAACTGAACTGGGTTTAGATTTCTGACTTTTGCTTCGACTCTGGGACGAGACACCTCCATAAGTTCTCAGATGACTCCTCCATCATCAGCTGTATCCCTGATGACAGCAAGGAGGAGTAGAGAGACCTGACTGAGAGCTTCATCGGATGGTGTGACAGCAACTACCTCCAGCTCAACACAGGAAAAACCAAGGAGCTGGTGGTGGACTAAAGAAGCAGCAAGAGGCCCCACACCCCTGTTGTAATAAGGGGTGAGGGAGTAGAGATGGTGGACCTCAACAACAAACTGGACAGACAACACCGAGGCCCTCTACAGGAATGGACAGAGAAGGCTGTTCTTCCTGAGGAGGCTCAGTTCCTTCAATGTGTGCACCAGGCTGGTGCGGATGTTCTACCAGTCTGTGGCAGCCAGTGTCATCTTCTTCGATGTGGTGTGCTGGGGAGGTGGCATCGGGACTTGTGGCACCAACAAACTGGGCAAGCTGGTGAAGAAGGCCAGCTCAGTGGTGGGGATGGAACTGGACAGTGTGGAGGCAGTGACTGAGAGGAGGAGGAGATGGAAGCTGAAAACCATCATGGACAACCCCTCTCATCCTCTCTATGCTGAGCTGAGGCAGCTCAGGAGCTCCTTCAGCCACAGACTCATCCAGCCCCGAGCCTGATTTGTGCCATCAGCCATAAGGCTCTCCACAACACTACAGCACCAAACTGACAGATTTGTGTGTGATTTGAGACATTTATCTGGTTGTAAAAAATTATTATTGATTGTACAGTGTAAATAGTAAATAGATGGGATTTTATGGGAGTTCCTGAGGTTCAGTGACTCACATGTTACAAGTTAAGATCACAAATATCCCTATACAAGCCACAATTCAAGAGTGAATTGTTTTAAATGAACCTTTTAGCAATTTATTCCTAATTCCAGCAATGACTCATTTCCTCTTGTTCCACCACTGCATTGCTTAGAGTTAATATATCCAAGGACACAATGATCTCAGAGCCACTGTGATTAGTGGTGCCACACTTAGTAACTCTGATATAGTAGTCTAGTAGTCATTTGCACGTTTGCTAATAATTTCCAAGGCTAAAAAGCCACACAAACCCACCTGCCTGAAAAGTGTAGAGACTGTGTGTCCCACAGCTGGTGGATAAAGTGAGAACTGTCCCACTCTCTGACAACACTGTTAAAGACAGAATTGATAAAATGGCTGGAGATTGTCAAAACCAGCTGCACAAGACACTTAGGAATGTTCCCTTAGCCATTCAGTTGGATGAAAAGACAACAGTGTCAGACTAGTCCGTGGTCATCGTTTATGGGCAATATATTCACAGTGAGGACATGCAACAAGACATTCTTATGTCTACCAATCTAACCACAACAACTACAGAATAAGATATTTTTATGGCTGTGGACTCTTACCTCTCATCCAACAACTTGCTCTACGAGAATCTTGTTGGATCCTGCACTGATGGCGCTACAGCGATGATGGGCAAAAACAAGGGATTTAACAGCCAATTGAAAGAAAAAGCCCCAGGGTTCTCAATTTTTCACTGCATGTTACATTGCCAAGCACTGGCCAGTAAAAAAACGTTCAGAAGACCTCAGTGACACCCTGAAAACCGTTGTTAAAGTTGTAAACTTCATTAAAGCTCACCCTACGATCAAGATTGTTTGCCCAGCTGTGTGAAGATGAAGTGCATCAAACACTGCCGTTACACACAGAGGTACGCTGGTTGCCACAAGTGCTTGTGCATTTTATTGAACTGCAGGAAAAAATTAAGGACTTCTTGCAAGATCACAATCGCCAACTGCGCAAACAGCTGACTGATGCATTCTGGATCAAAACGGCATACTTAGCAGACACATTTACTCTCTACAATGTTACAAATGAAACGTCATACGCAAAGATGCTCTCAGCACTTTGTGCACAAAAATCAGAATCAGAATTCTTTGCACTGCACAAAATGAAATACAGAGTTGGTCAAAAGAAGAGATGCATCAATTTCCACTGCTGATGAAACAGTCTGGTGGCACTGTGTGTGCGTCTTTACGCACTGAGTTTACCTGACACATGAACTTGCTCCACGAGGAAATTAAGTCCCGTTTTGCTGATGCTGACGAGTACTTGGGTTTGAGAATTGTGGGTGATGGACATGTACATTTCCAGCCTAGAGGACATGGAATACCTTGGCTGTGAGGATGAGCTTGCTGAACTTCAAGCCGATTCTGTGTCAAAGAAATATTTCCAGGAGAACGGATACAAAATGTTTTGGATCGTCAAAGGATACGCTGTTGCACCCACACTGGCCAAACACAGAGGGTTTTTCTCCCATTCAGCACGACATATCTGTCTGAGACAGCCTTCTCTGCCCTTGTAACAATAAAAACAAAGGTTTGTAACAGACTGGATGTACACAAGGACTTTAGGCTGGCACTGTCACTAGCATCACAACTGACATTACATCCCTGGTCGGAGGTATACAAGCCCAAGGTGGCCATTAGTTTAGGAATGAACAGGATGTCAGAGTTAAAAACATTAATGAGAATTTATGAAGAGATTATTATTGTTACTTTGGAGCCAAATTAACACTACTGCATAGCTATGTGACAGTTTTCACATGATGTGCATTTGTATAAAGAACGTATTGATTGCTATTGTTAGTTAGAGCCCAATTAATACTTGCATTTGGATATCCAACTAACTGCCCTTGTTTCAGTTATTTGTTCTGTGGAAGATCTAGGACAGAGCTATCTACTATTTGTGCTGATTAATCACTTATTACTCTGATGATAATAATAATAATGAATATATTATTCATTAGGTAAGGATGTGTGTGTAAAGGCCTACTTTTGTATTGTGTTGTTAATAGAAAGAAATAAGAAAAGAGACATTTACCAAAGGTTAAGGGGCCTAAGAATGGAAACAATCATAAATGTTTTTTGTTTGTTTGTTGTAAATAAGAATTGGAAGTAAATACATAATATTTGTGAGCATGTGTGTTTGTGGGTTTTGGGGGGGCTCAGCTTTTATTGGATTCAAGTACGAGGGCACCAAGGAAAAAAGGTTGGGAACCACTGTAGTAATACATATCAGTTAGAAATATGAACATTCCAAAATGATACATATAGGTTTTGATGTAGTGTAACAGTTGCTTGTCATAATGTTCTTCCTGAACAGCTATCATGATCATCTTGACTCTACCAGGGTCTTTTGAAGGGAAGTTGTTTACCATATATGGCCTATATCTGACTTGTGATTTCATAAATTACCATGGTCATGCATAAGCAAAGCAATATACATGTAGAATGTGTGGGATTTAATAAGTGCTTGTATGTGTACGCAACTTTTCATAAATACCAATCTTATTCTGTGCAGGTTTGGAACTTCTCCCACACAAACTTCTATACTGTGTACTCCACAAGCTGTTCACTCATGTATGGCCACAATTATGCATATATTTCCAACTAACTTCAATAATTTCTTCATCTAAACCATCAGTCTGCCTCTTAGACCCAATCCCAACTAGGCTACTTAAAGAAGTTTTCCCCTTAGTTAGCACTTCTATACTAGATATGATCTTTATTAACAGACTATGTATCACATTAATTTAAAGTAACTGATATTAAACCCCTACTTAAAAAGCCCACTCTTGATCCAGGGGCTTTAGCAAACTGTAGACCTATATCTAACCTTCTATATTGCAAAAACATCCTGTCTAAAAATGATGCAGAAAAACTAGTCCATGCATTTGTTACTTCTAGGCTGGATTACTGCGATTCCTTATAATCATGCTGCTTGAAAAAGTCCATTATGACTCTTCAGCTGATCCAGAATGCTGCATGTTCTGACAGGAACCAGGAAAAGAGTTCACAGCTGTTTCTCAATTCAGGGACCGCATCCTTCGAAGGCTGCATTTGAAGACAGTCGATGCGACTAGGCTGTCCCATTTCAAAGGCTCCTTCAAATGCGGCCGACAAATGCAGCCTTCTTTTCGTCCGTTTGCAGGATCCAACACCTGGATCCTTCGCAGCCCCAGGTATCCCGACATTCATTGCACGCCGGTTGATTGTCCCAGCGTAAATAATGGCGTAGGCTGTGGAGTTGAGCCCCCCGGATTTTACCTATAAATGTAAGTATTGGATTTCAACTCACTTCAAAAGCCAACTACACAAATGTAAAAATAACAAGAGGCATAAAAGCGCAATTTGTCATTTAAAGAATAGTTTTGTGGGAGAAGTTAATGTGAGTTAAGTGATTAACTGGCGAGCTAACGTTACATGAGGTTATTGATGTGCTAACATTAATGTTAAGTTAAACTTGTGTGGGCAAGTTACAACCTAAAAAATAAAGCCTTTAACGTCTTCACTTAAAACCGAAGAGGTTCAGAGTCAGACCTGCGTCTTACCGAGATTGTCGCGATATTATACATCACTTATACTTAATATTATGTACATGAAAATAACGTTACCACGTAACGTTAGACGGGTTGTGAACCCTGCTTGGTTTTCAGATAGTTAACGTTAGTAATGCAAAAACATCCCAAAAACCTTGGGATATAGTACACGGTTAATGTAACTAGGTTATTTTGCGATTTATGCTGCTTACTGTTTGGTGATGTGAAGCAAAAAACTTACTTGAACATGTCGTTTTGTTTTAGGGAGCGAGGAGCAAACTGCCCTGTTCATTAAACTGAGGGGGGGAGAGCGACCACCTCTTCACCGGGGCAAAATTTTCTGCCAACATGGCTTGGAGGTAATTAAAGTATCAATAGCCCTTTTGTAATATCTGCATTTAATCATCTTGTACTTAAAGTTACAGTTAAATGAGCCCCCATCCTATTCAAAGCCTTTAACAATAAGAACACTAGTAGATAGACAGCCCTTTGTTGTGTTTTTGTGTCTCTGTCCTGCCCTGTCACCTTTTCCAGTCTTCACAAAATTACCATTTCTTTTGTTTCTCTGTGATTAGGACAATTTTGGAGAAAATGGGCCTGTGGGGGAAGGTGACTTCCCTCAAAGCAAAAAAAAGTGGCACAATTAAAAAACAAACAAACAAACAAAGTATGTATGTGTGATTTGAAACTTATATTCTGTATACATTTTTTTAAAATAATTTTTGTATAAGTCGTTCACTGTGTAGCATAAAGGGAACTACAAACTGCATTCATCTTACAACCCTGTTTTAATATAATACATACATTTACCTTGTACGTTGTATATTAATTTCATTCATTCTTACCTACAAAGCTCTTAATGGTCAGGCACCATCTTATCTTAAAGAGCTCATAGTACCTTACTACCCCACCAGAGACCTGCGCTCCCAGAATGCAGGGTTACTTGTGGTTCCTAGAGTCTCCAAAAGTAGACTAGGAGCCAGAGCGTTCAGCTATCAAGCTCCTCTCCTGTGGAACCAGGTTCCAGTTTGGGTTCAGGAGGCAGACACCATCTCCACATTTAAGAGTAGGCTTAAGACTTTCCTCTTTGATAAAGCTTATAGTTAGGGCTGGCTCAGGTTAGTCCTGAACCATCCCTTAGTTATGCTGCTATAGGCCTAGACTGCTGGGGGATTTCCTATGATGCACTGAGCTCCTCTCTCCTCTACTTTCTCTCCCTCTGTATGCAACCTCATCCCATTATTGCATGTTACTAACACAACTTCTCTCCTTTCGGTAGTCTTGTGCTTTCTCGTCCCTCTCCTCTCTCCTCCTATCACTTCCTGCAGGTTTTCTGGCTCTGGAGCTGTGGAGTCTGGATCTGTGGCTGCATGTCACCTGCTGCCACCGTGTTCCTGCTCGACACTTATTATTACTAGTCCTATTGTTATTATTATTGTCATTAACATTACGATTTTTATTATTAATATTAATATAAATATCTGTACCCATTATTCATTCATTTTGTATCAACATTACCTTTATTATCTGTACTTCTGCGCATATATTGTGTAGGCTGCTCCCCCCTACCCCTCCATCCCTCTCTCCCTCTCTCTCTGGCATGTAGATGTGTTCAGGGTGGGACTCGTTGGATCCGGGATACTTTCGCTTCACATGTTCATGCTGCTTCACGTATTCGTGGACAGCAGTTGTGCTGTTCTGGACGAATCGCCCCAGTCCTACAGATTGCTCCAGTTTACGTTGCTAAGCTGTTAAGGGGAACATATACAGCTTAACTGAAGGCTGTTTACAGGCTTTTCAGGACCCGACTCTGCTTCTGAGCGGCTAGTAGTCCTTAACTAAGAACTGCGCATGTGCAGTTCGCAACAAAGATCCTATAGAGGTGAGATGATCTCTCCATAGCTAAAACAGAGCATTCAACACAGGGTGAAAAGAGGAGCTGCAGCATTGTACAGTATGACAAAAAAAGATGGTGTTTTTTGAAAATTTAATTCTGCCTAATAACTAGTAGATTTTAACAGTTAAATTCAGTAAAGTATATTAATCTAATATTTAATTAATCCAATTGACTCTCTAATATTTAGGGGATGTTAACAGGGAAAAATACTGGAAGAACTGTAAGTTTATTGTGTAAATACACACATTAGAGAGCTATTTTCTACATAGATACAATAGAACACACTGTAATGCAATATTTTCAATATGAATGTACAGTAGTATGTTTCATGATGATTCAGCTGTCACTGGATCTAGCAACCTTACCAAACAAGATAACAAAAAAACAAACAAAACCCTCCTCAGAAGTATAATGAGGAGCTAATGTTGAGTCCACCTCTAGTGTTTACTGACATGAGTTTGGGGTCATCACACACAACGAGCCCCATCTGTTTCCTAATTAGCTAATCAGCATAATGTTAAGGCAAACGTGGCATCCTGCTGCAGGCTTGTGTGCTGTTATCATAATAACATTTAAATAAGGATCACAGAATGAAATAAACTTAAGCTCATTCTATTTAATTCATGAAATCAGGTCATAACTTTATGAGTAGATGTATCCGGACTCATTGTACAAAATGCTGTTTCTCAAACTATGTGAAAGTTAACTTTAGTTTTTCACACAATGTTTGTTTGTTATACTGGAAAGTTCCTTTGATACGACTATCTCATGTGAAGTAGACTGTATAAATGCATTTACATTCTAGCAGGAAGGAGAACAATGTTTGAGTACAACAACAAAATAAAGACCGAAAAGGCCTGCCCATGTATATCATTAACATATGCATAATTAAAGAAACAATAATAGAAATTTAGTTTCAATCATGACGTTTCAGCCTTATTTAAACATGGTAGAAGGGTAAGGAAAATCTCATTAGTGGACAAGATTCAGGTCTGAGATTCAGGTAAATATGTAATGGAAGAAAATGAAGTCTTACTGTAGGGTGGTCATCTCAGTCAATGATGGCTGTGTGGCTTTCAGGTAGCTGGCCCGGCGTGCCTGGATTTTGGGAGAGGGTTTGGGACTTCCGTCAGAGTCTCCGCTGTCGTCCTCAGCCATGGCTTTGACATAGCTGCCGCTCCTCATCCTCCGACAGGGGATATCGTCCTCCTTCCCCAGAGGTGAGAAGCTGCTCCACTCATCCTGAGGTACCTGATGACCGGGCGGAGAGGACAGAGAAACACTGTCAAGAGGATCCACTCCACTGCTGTCTGAGTCCAAGCCACCAAACTGGCTTACTAACCTGTCCTGATGGTGCATGGAACTTACAGAAATAGAGCCAACATGCAGTACAACAACAATCACAATCACTCTTTTACACACATGCATTCATACACAACTCTCACACTGCTGCCGTACAGTCTGTTGGCTAATTAGCATGGAGCAGTATGTGTATGGGTCTGCCTTGGTCGGTCTGAGATTTCTCTCTGGCTAATTCATACATCTGCTTTCAAGGAGTCACAGAACTGTCCATATATGAACACGAGTGTGTAATGTGTGTATATATTTGTCTGCAGTGACCTGACCCAAGGGTCTGTTTGTTAATTGAGAAAGCCGAGGTAAGACACGTTTTACTGCACCAACTGCACAAAGATAAACTGAACAAAATGTACATGTTAAGTTAAAGATATAGCAGCAGAGTTTTAATGGGGGGTTTACAGAATAAAAAAACGGAGACAAACAGATCAAATAGGATGTTTTTCAGATGGGCCCTAAAGTTTCAGTTCATAGAAATCACAAAAACACTTTTTTCCCCCTCCAGTGGTATCTAATATTGGCTAATAACTGTATAAGAATATCATATGTTAAGTCTCTGATATGTTACAGTGACTATAATGTGTGTTACCGTATACAATGCTTTAGAAGTCCCAATAAGAATATTCAAGGATTAAGCTATTATACAAACTTAATAATCAAAAGAAGTACTTTGAAATAAAAACTGATTTATTCAAAAGGTTTCATTGTGGACTAAATGTAGTAAATTTACCCCCTCTACATTTGTACAATTTATGAAGTAAATCTTTCTACAGTAGAACTAGTGATTGCAGTCTGTCTCACAGTGGACATGTTGACTCATAAAAGGTGAACAAATAACAGTAATGAGGCTCTGCTCGCTTTCGATGTGACACCATGACATCATGTGTCAAGCCATGACAGAGAGCCAGCAGGCACAATATCAGGACCTTGGAACTGACACACTTGTATTGGAATACAGCCATTACGAATGCTATTACACTGTTAGTACAAATATCAGACAAGACAAGGGTCTGTATAATAATCTTTAATACATTTCATACTTTAAGACTAGCTTAACACGTTTTTGAGTAAGTAAATTATATCTATTCCCTTACACCAGTGATTGATTCCGGTCCCAGCCTATAGTGTTCACTGCAAAAGTAGTTCTTTGCCTTTTTCTAGAGGAAATAGAGAAATGCTGTCTTCTACACAACCCCAAAAATCTGTGATGTTGTCTTTTACTCCATGCCCTGTACAGTACAAGGCAACTATAAGCCTTCATGCCAACGGTGTAGACAGATTTGTTGCTTAAAACTGAGACAGACGACGTGACTGGTATTCTTCAGACCATCCAGAAGCCTATACATGGGCTTTGGTACATGTGATCCCTTTTATCTGGCGGGCGACTGCTGGGTCTGAACATGGCTTCTGAACTGAAACATTTTTTTTAATTAGCCACACCTTTTTAGTGTGTTTGTGCTAGCTGGAATGAGTCCCATGCCTTGTGTTAAACGTGTGATCGACTAGAGGCCAGAGTGTGAGAATTTGACAGACAATAACAGAGACAGCAGGAGAATTGCACCGCTACTGTGACTAATCATATATGAATCACAGAGGGAAAGAGGCTGAACAGATCTGCTGGCCTCAATGTCTCTCTCTCACTCTCAGTATGTGTGTGTGACGTCAAAGAGACACAAATGAGTAGTTTGGCTATAAAAAGAGAATGTGGGAGAGGACCAGCTGCAGTAGCATCAGCAGCGCCTCTCACCCACGCACAAGCCTCACTTCCACTGCTGCTCAATACTCATTCTACTGAAATGGCTCAGTAAGAGTGGAACACTGCTATCTATGGTTTACACTGTCATTAATGCAGATGCATTATGAGGTTTAACAATCCAACCTATTTTAAGAAATGTCACTGTGCATGTACCATTCACATTGTGTTTACAGTATGTCCAGAGCATTTACTGTGTATTTTATATTACAGCCTATAAATTGTTTCCTTGGCAACACTTGGCTGTTTTGATGGCTTGAGGCAGAAGCATTAGAAATAACAGGTGTAACAGTGCATCCAGCATCCGTGCTGTTGAGATGCTGGAGAAAAGAATTTGAAGATTGAACATGTAAAGCCAAGGGGAATGGGGCCAGCTTTACTGTCTTTTCTTGACGCAACTCGTAAAGCAGCTATGAAGCTGATGTTAGCCATAATCAAAAAAGACCAGGGAAATGTACTTTTTCCTCAATTGCCCTTTCAATGCTTAGCTTTTGAATTTGTATTCTGTGCCTATGTTTTAGACTTGTCTTTCTGCTTCATCTTTAAAAACAATGCCCATACTCTCTGAAAGTACATCACTGCTGTTTACTAAAATTCACTTCACTAGCTGAAAATTTAAACATTTAAATATTTACACATTTTATACATGTAATACACTAACTATGTGGATGGAGTAGATTTTACTATAGATTTACACATACTATTTAAAAGCTTAATAGTCACTGAATAAATACCTAAAAATACTAAGTAAATTGTATTCCAGGTGTGTGTTTACGTTTGAATCCACAGATGCGCTTTTGGACAAGACAAGATTACCCGCCATTTTAGTGATAATGGACCACAGCAGGGCAACTGTATCTGTTTCTGTTTAAGACAGAGGTGCTGCATGACCGGGTTTTTTGGGGGTGAAAGTTTTGTTAAAATTTGCTAATAAGTCTCCTATTTGTTTGAAATACAAATGTTATTTTATTATGTTTTTGTTAAACATGTCTGCTTAGAAAATAGTGTTTTTTGGTAATTGTCATTCTTGAGGTGGTTTATTGTTGAAACCAGGAGTGAAGTGCCTGTTTCATTTGATAAGAACGCTGATGAAAAGAAACTAACCAGCTAAAGAGTTATCCTGTGAAAGACTTAATTTCATGTAAACAATGATTACATTTAGAAAGACTAACAACATAGAGTTCTGAAAGTAACCACTGCAAGTCAGTAAGTAAGTCTTTTTGTAAGCATCGAGTTCAAACAACAAACAGCTGTGTAAATTCACAAGCTATAATCAGTGGCGGCTCCCGCCAAATTTCTCAGGGAGGGCAATTGTTGCGATGATGGCTAAGGTGACCAGTTCAATGGTCTTAGTCTGCTATAAGACAAGGATTGTTCCTTAGGCTACATACTGTACAGTATTTGTGAACAGCTACATCCTGAAGTTCAGTGCCAATGTCTACAATGAATGAACAGTCCACAGTTAAGATCAACAGATCTTTAGACCATTGAATGTAAAGGCAACTACTTTAGCAATAATGAAAAAAAAAATGACTCTCATAATCATCTGATTTAGCTGTGACAAACCTTTTATTTAGGAACAATAAATTCAGAATAAAGCGCAGTGGCACTGGGCTGATGATGTGCAATGAATAAAATTATTTACAGTTAATCTTGCGTTGCAGCTAAGGGACCCATCTCAAGTAAGAGGCTACAATTATGTAATAATGTCACATATGCTGTACATGAAGGTGGATCAAACATAGCTAATCTTAAATGTTTAATGGGGTACAGAGGAGCACAGTATTTATTTTCATTCTTGAAGTTACAAACATTAAACAAGACTAATAAGGTAAGCAGAGAGTAGTAAAAAATCCACTTCTTATCCTGTAGTTACACAGTATTATTAGGGGTGTGGGCTGTATTAAAGTATCCACTGTTCTCCTGTACTCTATAATCACACAGTAACAACGAGCTATGTGTTGTTCTCCCATTCTCACTCTGTATTTACACATAAACATCAAGGCATGAAAGGGGAAATATAAAAGGTATATTCTATTATTTTTGGTTTATTTTCTGTGTTGCTTTCCCACTTCTTCTTTTTACCCTCCTCTGACAAGATCCCAGTGGTGGCCACATCATGCTACCTCCTCTTTCTTCTGTGGTATCTGGCAATAAAAGAAAAAAACAACACATCAAATAATTGTTAAGGGTTAAGTGCAGCTAACTTTAAATTGACTCCACCACCAGCACACATAAAACATGGCTTAATAACAATCACATTTAACATAAGCATAAAATTCAGCTTAATAATAACTATCAAGATTATTATTATTAGCTTAGCCTATGGCATTTTACGGAGCATAAATTAGCCTAGTGGCTAGCGGACTTTTCCTCTCCTCATAGCTTAACAAATTACATGTATTATTTATACTGTGTCTTACTCACCACTGGTAAAGTCACTGCATCTCCCGACAACACGGTTGAATTTTCAGCCTGAACGTACATTTTCTACAGCAGCTGGTCGTAGTGAGAGCAACAAGCTGGAGGACCGCCGAGTCGTTTTCAGGTGGCAGAAGCGTAGCTCTGCTACTGGGCACATGACGTAAACACGTAAGTGCGAGCCCTCTCGGAACCCATAGAGATTGCATTGCAGCGGCCGCAGCCCGAACAAAACTGCCTTTACATGAAATTTTATGAGAGAGATCTGGGCGATTTCCAACCAGACTCCCCGGAACACGACTTGACGCTGATTGGACAGCGATATTCAGAGACAAAATGTCTGTCAAAAACAGTCACAGCTAACTAACACTGTGATTGGTAGAAAGTGTGAGAAAAATCTCCTGCCTTTTTACTAATGAACCCTAATGAACAAACCGCCCCGGCTATAATATATTAATATTGTGAATCAAATCAATGTCTGGAGCATGAAATGGTACTCTGAGGACTGTCTCTATACCACTACGCTATTGGATCACACAATGTTTTGAAGTATTGTTGATGGTAAAGTGCATTTGCCTTAAAAAATTAAGCTTTTCAGCTGTCGTTTGGGCAATTTGAGTTACAGCTTGAGCAGCTGAACACGAAAATATAAAGCACAGGTCTTCACCACAATTAAAGGAGAAAGAGAATGCAAGCTGAAGAACTGGAGGTGCAAAGAGGA